TCATGCTTGGGAGGGGGGAGGGACAGTGCAGGAGGGGAAGACCCTCTATGAGATGGATTGATTCGGTGACTGGGGTAATCAGGATGGGTGTATCAGAGGCGGTGCGGTTGGCGCAGGATAGAGCAGGGTTTAGGGCTGTTGTGCATAGGGTCGTTATGAGTTGGAAACGACTCGACAGCACATAACAACAACAACAAACAAGATACAATATATATGAATGATTATATGCCAATAAATAAAAAATCACCTATAAAATTTTGTCAGTTTAAAGAGTAAGGTATATTGGTCTAAGTCATGGTCTTTTCAATTACTTGCTGTGCATCTGAAAGTTGGACAATGAGTAAATATGACAGAAGAAGGATGTGAGCCTTCGGGTTTTGGTGTTGGGGATGAGTGCTGACTCCCATAAATTGCCAAAAGAACAAGTAAGTCCATCTTGGAAGAAATGCAAACAGGCTGGTTCTTAGAAGAAAGGATGGAAAAACTTCCAACATACTTGTCAAGAGAGGACATTCTTTGGAAAAAGACATCAAGTTGGGAACATGGAGGGTCAGAGAAAGAGAAGACCTCCCACAAGATGAACTGACACAGTGACTGTAGCATTGGGATCTGGGATATGACAGATGGTGGGAATGGAGCAGCACTGGGCAAGGTTCATAAAGTTGCTTCCAAGTAGTTGTCAGCTTGATAGCATCAGACAACAACAGCAGTAGAGTATGGACCTGTTTAATGAATTAAAATTACCCAAGTAAACAAACAACTTCTATGTCACTAACTTTTTACCTGTTCCATTTTTATCAGGAAGCAATCAGTGAAGTCTCGAGGATTGTTAATGTCAAGAGTGTCTTGGTGTTCTTTAACTTTCTCAAAAACAAACGCTTCCAAATACTTGAAATTCTCAAGTACTTTTTTATGACTCCCGGGAAAATAATCAAGGATTATAGGAAAAGCATTGCAGACCTAAGAGAGAGAGAAGAATTTGACTAAATACTAAAGTATTTCAATGTGCCATATACCAAGGCCTAGATAGAAACTTGTTTATAATCCCTATCTTGAAAGGAATATTTTTATTGTAAATATAATTTTATAGGTTTCTAAAAAGACAAAAGAGATAAAACAATAGTTATTAAAACAATTATTTTCTATTTTTCTACATGACTTTTAAAGAATAGAACTGTATTTATACCAGTCTACTAATTTTACATGGATTGTGAAATAGAGCACGGGATAAATCAGCACAGTTCATATTTTGAGATGAAAAGAGAGGTTAACTGGTTATGGAGAACAAAACTAGTTAGACTGCTTCTTCCCCATCAGCAATAGTATTATGGAACTGAGATAGATTTAAAATTATCATATCATGAATGAAAATGGTATGCAAAAGAGCATGTCAGTGAATAGTTTCAGATCATGCAATTATCATTTAGGCAGAACACAACCACACTGTAACAGATTAGTTCAAGGGAAAACTATGTTTTGTATTTAGTACACTTTTTTCATCCCTAACAAATAAGCATCATCTATGGAATCACAGGTGAAGAATCAAAGAGTCCTGTGTTAATGAGCATTTCCTGGTTGCGCCTGTGCTTTCAACCTCCTAACCCCTTAATATCCTGTCATAGACTATTTTGACAAGGAATCTGATAAAGAGGTCAATAGATGTTGACTGGAAACAGCTTTATATATGTAATGAAAGCCTTTCAACAAGGGTTTTGGATCTCCCTTGAGTACTCTGTCTATGCTCCTTTGACAGTCATCAGAGTACTTGGGTTAGGGGTAAAGTGGGGAAAAAAGACGGGACAGGAAGCTCATTGGCTTGGAAACATCTATACCCTAGGTGTCCTTTTCTAGTATGTAAAGGAAATAGCAGTATCTTTTGGTAATGTTCACTTCATGATCCTGTCTTAGTTATCAAGTGCTGTTATAGCAAAAATACTATGAGTGTGTGGCTGTAAGAGAAATCTCCGTTCTCACAAACTAGGAGGCCTGTTTCAGGATGCCAGGTCTAGGGAAATGCTTTCTTTCTACATGAGCTCTGTAGGAAGACCCTTGTCTGCATGAGTTTCTCTTCCTGACAATATTTTTGCAGTTTGGCATCTCTCTTTTCACCTCTGTTTGATCATTTGCTTATTTAATTGCTCTTACATCTTAAAAGAAATTTACTCAAAATAAACTTACTTAAAATGGTTTCTGAGAAAGGGTCTAGAATTTATATTGCATTATTCTGAGGCGACACAATTCAATCTTTAACTACCCTGAACAAGATTTTTAAAAATTGTATAGCTTCGTCTACGTAGAACTTTTCATTTGACAGAGAATTAAGCATAAATGACTTCCAGGAATTAACAATTTTGACCTTACCTGCATCCATGGTGAACTTAGAAGGCTGACATTTTCATTGAGTTTTCTTATCAAGTTAAGAAAATCCTGATCTTTATAATCAAAATGATGATGGAAAACAACTGAGCAGATCACATTACAGGGTGCACAGCCCAGGATGAAAGTTGGATCACAGGGTGAGCCTAAA